AATGAAAACACCAAATGGGCCAGGATGCTGGCTCATTCTTGTGGTTTTTATGTGTCATGGCAAGCGATGCGCATCGAAAAGAGTGGTGGTAAGAGAAAATAAAAACAGCTGCCAAGATTGTTAACGTACTCACATTTGCATATTTTACAAGGACATAATACATACACCACAAGCACACAAACAGACATGCACAAACCATACAAATTGTTGTTACAATTTACAGACATAAATCAGCACAAATTATGCAAGGAGTGGGAATAGGAGCGAAGCCGCTTAGGAGAGATGACATTCGAGTAGGCACACAAATCAGCAACAACGACCCATTGTCAAAGCAGGACAATTATGAGATTTTTTATGAGCGTTTTGGCCATCCGGTATAACAAATTAAACCAATGAACAGCACTAATAGCATCTAAAAAATGGCGGACACTTGTAGAGACAAATGTGGCAACACATGCCACAAATGCAACAGCAACACAAAATTAAGGATATATAATGTTTTATGTCTTTTCTCAGAGCATTACAAATGCATAGAATACTATAGTTAAACAAATCTAGTCAGAAAAATGTAAAAATACGACAAACAAGACCTTAAATATCTGGGGAACTATTTCGAAAGTTCCATGGCAATTATTGGATAACTATTAAGTGTAAAGCCCTTTATAGAATTTTAGAAATTATGCTAAATTTGTCCAGTCTAGTGTTTTAAGAATGAAATTTAATTAAGATCTTCATTTCAACTTCAATTCGGCACGAATTACATAATGGTTGCCCATCGTTCTCTCACTTAAAGCGGAGTGCCCCAAATTAAATGTCACTGCCATTTAGCGCTAACAATTTTATCGGTGCTGCACCATCGTCAAGTGCACTAACAACTTCGGGCACTTGCCAGCGTCAAGCCAATTAGGGCAGGCGCTGCTTATTAATCAATGGAAACCAGCAATTTCCCCCCAAGCGTAAGGGCCACTGGCACCGCTTACGGAACCAAATTGAAAGCTGACGTGCTGCAGTGCTGAGGAATTCGTGAAGGCAATTAGTACATACAAATCCTTTTAGTCCGCCATTGTACGTCCACGGAACTGTGAGACTACAAGCACGGCTATATATCAGCTATGGTTACCCTTACGGCTATCTCCTCCATTATTCTTTGGCGCCGTTGAAGGCTCAATTATTTTTAATTGTGTTTTGATAAGTTCAGCACACGCTTGCCAACTGAATTACACAAAATGCCAATTATCCAATTCGATGGACAGCAAAATGCTTTAATTATTTTTCAATTTATGGCGCATTGGCTTTCAGTGAGCTTTCCACGGATTTTCATTTACCGCCAGTGACAACGACGGGCATATATACTTACGCGTATATGTACATATGTGTTCATGTAGTACGTGTATATAAGTTAGTACGTATGTAATTACATATTTACGAGTACGTCTGAATGAGAGTATTTTTATGCAGGTACGGGTGTAATGAGTTCAGTACGCGTTAAGCGGTAAATTAAAATATCTTTAATCGAAATTTATGTGAGTTGGTTTGTGTCTGACAGTTGCCGATTCCCATGAATTCATTTACACTTGCGCTTTTATGTTTACCTTACCCAATGGGTGAAGGAATCCAGATCTTTAATACGATTTGAGTTAATGGAAAAAGCAATACTGACATTTGTTTCAATATTTGGTGTAATTAATTGCTTTATTTTTAATGAGTTCTTAGCAAGCAACATAATCTATCCATAATAAGAAGAAAATTTGTAATTAAATGGTGAAATATACTTTTTTTGAGAAAGCAAATATTTAGAGAAAAATTTAAAATGAATAGAGCTTTAAGGCTGGTCTCTTTTATCTACAACAACAAATCAACTAAAATAAACTTTCTTAGGCGAATCTTTCCAATAACAGCTATATTATTATATAATCCAATTATTTGGCTGTAACCTCAGAATATCATTATGCACTATAAAAAACGTATTAGTTCAGCAAAACAACTTTTCAGTTCTATGTTTGATTTCAATAAAAATTAAATTCACTAAAATAAAAACGGACAGACAGACACAAATGAGTAGTAATCTGTGTTAAATTTCACAAAATGTTTCTATTTGTTGCTATACTTATTCAAGCTTGGATCCCTATTTTTATCAGAATACATAATAATAAATCCATTTTTAAATTACCTTTTTGATTTTGAAGATTTTAACGTTTTGCAAAAACTGCATAACATTAAATAAACACATTTATGCAGTTTTCGAAAGAGTTTCCTTCTATTATAAAAGTATTGTTAAGTTTCCTTGATAATAGAGTAATACAAGGCTTACCATCTTAGCCAATTACAATTTTGATTTTCTAGCTTTGAGAAGAAAAGGTATGCATAGGTAATTAGTTTCAGGCTTGCAGATATAAGTAATTTAAATGAAGCGGCGCAGAAATATGCGCAAGCGCAACAGTATTATCACTTGGCTAGATACAGTCCATAGTCTACTAAGTAAAGCACATTACACTTATTAATATTGAGATGAAGTGCTTGACCACTGGCCATGGTGTGCTATGCTTTGACTGAAGTTCGTTTACTTTTGCAATTTGTTTTTGTGGTTTCTGTGGCACAGACCATTTCGTGGCTTTGCCGCTCGCAAGTCTATCGATTATTTTGTGTGCGTTTTTTTTCTCGGAACATTCTGCGTTTTATTGTTGCTGTTTTTATGGGCGAACACAAACACAGACACACGAACTAACAGAATCCCGAGGGGAGCGACGGCTAGCTGGCAACATTCGTGGCCTCGACGCATTTCGACAGCGATGTGGTCGCGACCTAGTCTGAAATTCGTGGCCGATTTTTACGATAGCGAAAATGAAGCTCTGCTTGGCCCGCTTTCTTAAGTAAAGAGGGCGTTAATGTTTGCTCCTATCTGTGTGATATTTAAGCGTGCTTGGTCTCCCAGCACTTACTTGCAATTAGTTTAAGCCAGCAATTCGACATAAACTGCATGCACGATTCCTCGCCTGTTGTTTTTCCATTACTATTAGCTCTAGATCCGAGAAAAACTCCTCCTGTCTTCCGCTGTGGCAGAAAGTTTTGAGGCATGTCTTGTGACTGTCTGCAGTTCATCATTACAGGACAACCTCGTCTTCGACAGGCAGCAAACGAGTAGAGACAAGCTAAAGTTCTGCATTCAATTACCGGGACATGAAATATACCGCCTCCGGTGCCAACAAATCCAACCCTTTTGCATTACATCGTTTCTAGAGCAGTGGCAGGTAGCACGTCTCAGTGCCGCGCCAACAACGTGCTTTGTTTTACAAATTCAACTTACCTTCGACCTGCTTCTGGTGTTGGCCTTTTTAAAATAATTAAGGCATTGCTATTGCCTCGTTAGCCCATAATTCTATGGTTTATTCTTCATAAGCCTTTAGGGTGCACGCTTCTCACTTCGTAGACGACCTTTGGCATTTTTTTCGGGGGCATACCACTGCAAATTATGGCTGTTCGGTATGTAAACTAACTTAATTAAAACTCAGGCCCAAGTAAACACAATTCCGCTTATATTGCCACTTGACGTAAGGAACAATTTCTTGCCCGTTTTCTGCACGTCAATTTTTTGTGTGGTTCAAGTGAAAGATTTATAAATATATTAGTAGAAGTACTTTAAATTGTTTACGTTCTGTGCTTTACAAGCTTTAAAAAGTGTCAAATGAAATAAGTATATGCGTACATGCATATACATATGTATGTAGTATTTGTGATGCATGTATACTAAGCTACTTAGTATGTACTTGTATATTATATTTCCATTTGCAATGTGTAAGAAGAAAATACATTTAAGAAATTTGTATCAGTCTAATTGATGAGGAACGAACAAAAAAATTTTTTAAATTTTGTCATTAAACTCTGACTAAAAATTAAAGCTTACAACTGTACAATGTTGAATCATAAGAATTTTAAATAATGACTTTTAAAGAAATAACACACAAATTTATAAATAGTAATACAAATGCATCTTTTCTTTTAAGCAAAACCACATTTGTATGGCCTATATTATATTAATTAGGTTTAATTTTCTTTCTAACAATTTTTATTCATTTTTATTTTATAAATCGCAGGAGGACTGTGTTAAAGAAATTTCCAGCATAAACAATATTTCTAAAAAATGGTATACTTGGTTTTACATTTTTGTAAATTAAAGGTATTAATTAGACAAAAAAAACTCTTCACAAAATTAAAATAAGTAAAATAAATTAAAGTAAATGTTATGCGATAAATTCAAAATAACTTAACAGAGTTTACATTAAAAAATCAGTATATTTTTTAAAGAATCTATCAGTACTTCGTTTATAAAATGCTAAAGTCGTGTGTTAAAATTATTAACTTTTACTTCCTTATTTTGTTTGGCTTTGAGTCTGTTTGCGCGAAGAAAAATCACTTAGTGTCCGAAAAGTGAAAAATTTGATTAAATTTTGAAGCCTTTTAGAGCACTGTGCGCCTCTTATTGGCTGTGCCACAGTCAGTGACATTGTCATCTCTGGCTATGTCGTCATTTCGTTGCTGTTTTGCTCGCCCAACCACCCATATGCGGCAGTTCATTACGAAAGCAAACACATCAGTAGGCTCTCTCACACCTCCCATGCCCGCGTTCGTACTTGCACTCGCATTGTCTCTGGCGCTCTTCACGCACACCTACACACAAACACTAAACAACAACACACTCACACACACATGAAATGAGAGTGAGAGTACGGCAAACGCGCAGCCTCCATGAAAATGCTAAACCAATAGTCGCAACAACAAATACAACAACAGCAATGGCGAACAAACAGCTGATTTGGCCAACGACAATGTATTTTGTGTTTTCCTTTTGCCCATGCAGCAGCAGTCGGCAGCAGCGTTGGCGTCGACGTCGACGCTAACATCACACAGCGACAGTGGCCAAAAGGATTTTTGAGCTACTGGCCTGAATCAGTTCGTAACGGAATTCCATCAGAGTCAGAACGCGAATGTGCCGCTAGCTGGCTGTGGCGACCACACGTAACGGTAACGCGAACGTCGCTACTCTTAGCCTAAACGTGCTATTTTGGACGCGAAGACGACGACAGCCTGTGCATGAGTCGCTTCTGTTTGTGTGTGTTCAAGTGTTTTTCTGTTGTCACCAATTCTGTTGTGTCTCCGTCTGCTCCGCCGACGCGTCAGCCGTCGTCATCACCAGCGTGCATCGCTGTCCATTCTGTGTTTGGCTTCTTTTAATGCTTGTTGTTGTTGTTTCTGCTGTTGCTCGTTGATGAAATTTCTGATTATTTATGGCAATATTTTTATTGCCACTCTTGCTGCTGCTGTTGCCCTTTGGTGTTTTATTCATGGACAGTAGATAGTACTTTTTTAAAGTCTGCTCGGCTCTTTAACATCGAAACAAAACAAGAATTTGTTCCGTTGGCCCGCCTTCCAAGGCGGAACGTTCAACAATACTATATATTAAGATTTTTTGAAAAGCTGCAAAAATTCATAATAAAATAAATTTTCAAAACTGCACAGACTTGTATATAAATGTTTGTATTTTGTTGTAAAATCAAAAACTACACTCAGAAAATTACATTTTCTAGATTCGAAACAATTACACGAAAACCAAACCAAATCACATTACTAATTGAACAGAGAATAAATTGTTTTTATTATATTTAAAAAAACCGAAAAAAAAAACTGATATTGTACTTCAAATTAGAGGGATTGACTAGAATGCATCAAATAGCTTAAAAACTATGTTTGTACAATTACTTTTAACTCCCAAGTAGTATTTACTATTTTATTAATACAATTTAAAATATAAAAATTAATGCATATATGAATTAAGTTCTAAGTACATGTGTAGGATTTATCCATCTGCTCAGTGTTATTTTCAATTAACCGTTTTAACAAATGAACAAACTAATAATAAATACTTTTGTTGGCCCACATCATAAAAATAAATTTTTACTTTTCAGCGCACAGTGCATTTGTTTTTAGAAAGTTGCGTTTTTTTTTCTGAGTGTGTCAAAAATGGTTCTAAGAAACACATAAAAAATAATGTGACCTAAATGTATTAATGGGCGTATATATATTTGTATCGCAATCCAAAATTCATTTTCAATTATTTAAACATTTATTTCCAAAAACTATCTTTTGAATCATTAGGAATACTTTTAAATGTATTTAGGGTCGTTTGTAATTAAATTTATTTTTGCCACAATACAAAATTAAAACTGGGTCTTAATACTATAAAAATTTTACTAGAAAGCCTTGAAACGGATTCGTCTTTAAACAAAATCCAAGAATCAAGAATCCATCAAGAACTTACGAAGGAAATCTCAACGTCCGTCTCATGGGCTCATGGTGTGATGATAAATATGATTTGGAGATTGGATTTTCAGAAAGAAAGTATTTATAATTGGGAAAAATGAGCGACATTAAAATTGAGAATTATACGCAAACATATTTATAGTGAATGCTTTCTTTAAAAATAAACAAGTCTGGCATGGACACGTGACAAGCACTCAGCAAAACATTCCCCTAATCCATTGATTTAATCATAAGACATTAAAAGTTTCTTAAGATACAGTTGTATAAACGATTCCCCTCTCCCCGACTGCATGCTCTATTGTTTCCATTGACAACTATAATTATAGACTTGCCAATGCGTTTGCTTGCCCGTCGCTCGTCTTATGACACAAATGCCGTTAATTGAATGAGAACCGTAGACCAAGTAGCCAATGTCTTAAGCAAATACAAATGCCAGCTGACAGATACATATGCACAAACATTTAACATTAGAGAGGGGGGCTAAGTGACCAATATTCTACCATCCACAACAACAATAAAGCAGCAGCAACAACAACAACGTCCCAATGGCCGGTGGCCAAAGCCAAACAACCACCGCAGAGTGAAATAAATGTGTTTGCAAATAGAAATACTCGTCTATATAAATATTTAAATATACATACATATGTAGTATGTATATATGGTTGTATGGGCATATATAAAACAAAATATACTAACATACCTACTCATATATACATACATATAGTACATTTATCTAACACAAGCAAAAGGAAAACACGTCCGAAAACAAATACTAGAGAGGAAAAATACACGAACTGCCAACGACCTGAAACATAAAATGCAAAAAAATGAATAATGGATGAACGATTTAAATTTTGGCCAAGCGATTTGCATTCCGGAAAAAAAATTGAGGTAAATTTTGCATGGCACATAAATTTTGTAGAGAAATGAGATGCAATTGGATTAATGTGGGAAAATCGGTCTGAGCTGCCGTTTCCATGTGGGGGCGTTGATGTAAAATAATTTTGTTTGTGCAACGCGGCATAAGTTTTAGGTGTGCGTGTCTACAATTAAACTCGAACTTTTTTGGCACTTGAAATATATGTGGTGCCATAATCTTAATGAGCGTGTGGGCCACTTGACAAATGACTTTCACAACATTGCACGGAACTGGTGGGTCGTTGGAGTCCCGCAGCCTAGCTTTTGCTACATTACTATAATTCAATGTTACTTCAATTTTCGAGATCCAATATCCTTGTGTACATATAGAGGTTTGCGCCATCTATATAATGTATGTAACATTAAATTAAATATGCATCTAAATGGCTGCACTTGACTTTGTTGATAGTCCAACTTAACAAAACTATTCACTTTCTAATAGATGATGACTATAATAGCGTTAACAACTACACTGATAGACAAAGGATGGTCTAACGTAGGCGCTAATCTTACTTGCATACAATTTCAAAAATGAAACACACTTGAGTTTGCTTAAATCTAGCCGAATCGAGCCATAATTTGATTTAAAGAAGAAACCTTGCTTTGATGAAACCCTACAAATAAGAACTTTAATCTTTATTAAAGTAGCTGAAGGAGGCAAAGACAGTATTCGGCTTTTATTAGTATCCGGGCGCTTCAAAGTTTGACTTTCCGTTTTTCTTCACTTTGGATTATAGTTTCCAACAAGTGGCTTTTCTGCGGTTTGTGCGTTTAATACGAATTGTTAGCGCTTCAAAGGTATACATGGGTGTGCGTAATTTAAATATTCATAACTTTAACAAATATTATGAATAGGATTGCAAAACTTTCGAGCTGAATATATTTTCTTTAAATTTGAGAAAACTTTGTAATTGACTGCTTGTCTAATCCACTGAATGAAACAGTGTTTTTATAGAAAAGAATTTATTTTCTGAAATTCCAATTTTTTTGAAGCAATTATCCAATTATGGGTTTAGCAGTCTAAACAAAATTAAAGGCAATTAGTCAGCAGGTTTATGTTTCAAAAATTAACTTTCAGACAAATAATTTTAATTATTTCAAAGAGTATGTAGACATAAATTAGAACAAATTTATTTCCCGTCACTCCATAAAAAAAAAAAACTTTACTTATTCGATTATTTCAAATTGTCAAAGAACTTTCGCATAACAATCGCCGCTATACAATCAAAACTGACATATTTTATTTTGGCCTCATTTCAGGACTAAGTAAAAATACTTACTATAAAAATAAATTAAATGCCAACTAAAGCACTAGTTAGGATTTAATTGACCATTCTGGCCCATGTCCTGCAACTGCCACACACGTACGCGCCACCCAGTCGATTCTCTTTGCCATTTTGGCCATAATCACATCTTTATAACAGTTTGCCAACCAAAGCGATGGCAACTAAAACATTACTAATTAGTTTATCGTGCGACATTCAAAATCCCACACGCTCGTCCAGGGGGCCGCGTGCTGGTCCAATGCCCCAATTTTGGGGCATATGGACAACAAAACGGAACGTGAAAATGTCCAAGACGTGGCCACGTACTGCATTAAATTCACGGCTGTCATAAAAAAGATTTGCGTGCATTCAACGTGAAGTCTTTCGGAAGTTGTAAAGGCCAGAAATGAATTTTTTGGCTGTCATCCACTGGTGGCCAGCTGCCACCCACTGACCACCCATCCCCAATGCCATTGCCTCCTTTGCCACTCACCGTTGACACTTGGCATTTGCTTTTTCAGCATTGGCTCGGCTTGTGCTTCAGCTTTAGCATTGGCTGTGGCGTTTCTCCGTTTTTGTTTCACAAAGATTTCGTGATTTTTTTTATTTGAGTCATTTTTGGATTTTCCGCACGCATTTCCTTGGGGTTGCAACCGATTCAGCTGCCTGTTTTGCTTCTGTTGCTTCCTTTGTTCATTTGTTTTATTCAGACTTGAAGTTGTTTTTGCTTCACGCCCTTTGAGTTCTGGTTTTTTTTTTTTATGATTAGGTGCTTGAAACTTTTATTCATCATATACGAGTACGAGTAAATACGAATATGGGTGTATGTGTGTGCTTCAGTCAGCTTAGTCGGCACTCACTCTCACGTTTCCTCTCGAATTTAATGATTTTTGCTTTATTTCTTTTGTTCCTCTTGGTGGGCGGCTAGAGCTTTCAGTGTTTCGCTATGGCCTATTTCATCCGGGTTGGCTTTTTACGAGTATATCCGACATCTATAAAAGAGTCCATTATAACTTGATTAGAATGTAATTTTTACATTAGAGCCTTAAACAGGTGCTTCGTACGTTGTGTGTCTGCCAATGTGTAAACCTTCAAATAGCTCCTGCAACAAAATTGATTGATTGGATAATAATGAGAACCGTAAAAGATGTGTAAATGTTAACGATATAGTCATTACTTTACATAGCCAACTTGAATGCTTTTTGTGTGGTAAAGAGCTTGGCAATAGCTTCGTTTCGTCACGTCGATCATATAAGTACTTAGGTACCTTTAACATATCCACCATTCTTCTTCTGCTGCTTTAATACATTTTTTAGGGAAGGGCATAAACATTGCAGATTGTACTTATTTGAATAATAAGTTGCAAGGCTTTGGAAGTAAAGTCTGTTATGCAATTACCTTCTCGCCGTAATCGTATTAAGCAAAAACGACATGAATGCACGATCTGTGAACGCACAATCTATCTTGGAACTTCTCATTTAGTTTTGCTGTGATAAAGTGGTAGCGATAATGTCGCTCAGGTTAATAAGTAAATATTTATAGCACGATCAGGTAGGCTTAAAAGCTATCGACTGAAAAACAGTGCCAAGTTATTGCGCGGACAAAAAAAATAAAACGAAATAATCTTAGCAAACTTATGTAAAGATTATTAAATTCGATGTTTGGAAAGATTTATGGGTAAGTATAAATGTAAAGAAAAAACCTTGTGGATTTTGTGACACACTTTCACCCATTGGACACAGAAGGAAAAAATAATATGATTAAAGATAAAGTTACGACCCTTTCTGGACACCTACTCGTATTTAAATGGCAGAGGTTTTTTAATTGAATCGCTTATCTTTACAATAAAAAATCATAGCAATCATTAAAACTGATGCTTACAGATCATTTCTAATGTAAAATTTAAATTATATTAACTATATTTTTATGGGGGGTTAAAACAATAATATCTGCATTGTTAAGGAGTAAAAATGTCCCTTATATATCTACAGATATGTAGATTGCTCACATGTTTTTAAAAAAGTATATTTTATAGGTCTTTCTAAGACAATCCAGAAATACTCGTATATTGATAATTATGAAACACTCAAATTTTTAAACTAGGGCAAAAAATATTAAAATATAAAACTAATTTCGGATTTGGTTCAGTTCAAAAGATTGTGATAATATTTACAGACAGTGGACAATACGAGCGGCGATTTAGATTTAGAACTGACAGAATTCTGAGATATAAAAAGCTTGCTCGATATTAAATTATGAACTATTCTGCTGTTGTTTCATAAAACCAGGCATAGAAATTTCCAAGACAAAGCACAGAAATCTTACAAAATCGGCTTGAACCTTAATGACCTTTTCTCACTCAACAAAAAGTATATGAGATGCTTTCTTATTGGTCTCCGATAGATGTCTTCTTTGTCATTAGCCTGCCTGATTTGGCATTTTCTTTATGGGTACTGGATGGGTACTGGAGCTGGCGGCGAACAAAAGACGCCACATGGCTTGAGTGCGATGCCAAGACTGTTGGCGCATTAAAGTCGTCTAACGGTTATGTAGATTGTGGAACGGCAAATGGCGAATTTGAATCGCTTGCATAAATCAAAGCTACAAGAAGGCGTGTTAACTGAAAATCACCCGACGAGCTCAGCGCATATTCCTTAGCATTGAATGTCTGGCTTTTAGCGTGGGCCGCAATTCGCAGCAACAAATTGTTGTGGGTTGTTACCATTTTGAGTTGTCAATGTGCCACAGCCTCCGAAACGAGCGCCATTTTGCATTTTTCATCAACAAGAATTTCGTTTAAAAATAATAAAAACGAAATCATTTTCAAAGCATCGTGGATACATACATACTTGTATATCGAGTGGCGGATGTTCTGGTGCCTTCTCCAAGTATCCGTCCGTTCCATGCCCGTTAAAGTCTACGTGGGCCACCCTAATGCTGCTGTTAATGAAGTTTTTAAGACCGAACGGAAAAATTAAACGCCAACTTTTTATGAGCTGGTTTTAATTATAATGAATTCACACGTACATGTGCAGACGTGTCCATTATGGTACGAAGCGAAGCAAACTCAATTAAAATATAATCGAAGCTCTTAACTGGAAATACAGCAAGTTGTGCTTAATGAAACTTATGCAAATTATTTCGATTTGGGTTTGGAAAATGGGAAAACTAACTGTAACTACTACAAGTAATACAATATTTGTGTTAAAGCTTAAACATGAGAACCCTTTTTACTTCACCATTACGTATATATGATCTACACTATAAATTCACAAACACATTTGGGGTCCTTACTTAAGGCTGATTTACTGCTTACATTTTAAACGTTAGTCAGCCATTTTCTCGGGCGCCAAAAATGGCAAAAATGTCTGCCTAATGATTAATTAGCTAAACAGCTGTTCACTTGTTGGTACATTGCGTTGTGTCATATATCTTTTGCGCTGAATAAGGTGTAAATTTAACAGTTTGATTAATCTACTAGGATTCTATGTTATTTTCAGGTTGTTCTGTGCTTGTTACTTTAAGTTAAAAGGGCTTCAAGGCTTGGCGAAACGAATCAACATAAGCATTTCCATGTGTCCTTCCATGTGTCGACATTGAAAAGTTTTGAAAATAAACTTCTAGAGGGAACAAGCATTTATACTTATCAATTTTTCTATAATTACAAGCTATAAAAGATACAACAAAGAGCTGTTTTAGTAAAATCGT